CAACACTACACATAAACTATGTCGATATATACATAACAGATAAGCATACATATAACATACCGAATATAAATATTATCGGGTTTGTTGACTAGCAGCACAAAGCAGTACAGTCTCAACCCAACCACACTACATCAACACATGCGACCGGTAAACATATACCCAAAATAGATAATAGGCAGATCTAACAGATCATTAAGCATATCATCATCCTATCTACCAGGATACAGATCTAATAGATCACCATAATACTCAATCATACAATAAACCAAGATAACAATCCAAAGGGCCGACATTGGTGCCTTCGACCCGCAAGTACAAAGAGGGAGACTCACCTCGCACTGCCGAATCCTACAAACGATCCCTGGCTATTGGCTGACAGCTCCCTGAACCATCAACATCAAGACAACACCCCATCAACAGCTGATTCCACGAATAATCTCTGACTGCAGATCCGCTATAATCCACGCGCTATCAAATACCAAAATGACAACCCATCAACATCTAGCCACTAACTCACATTATGAGTCCAAATTAGGGTAAAAGACCTTTTTACCCTTCCTTAAGCATGGCCCAAAGCCAAGGCCCAACTTGACGAACAAGTGCCCAAAATCAAAGACTAACATCTAAGGCCCAAATACGGCCCAATTTTCCAAATTGGGCCTAATTCCTTTCATGGACCTTTGCCCAAGAAGGCCCAACAAAATAAAACAGCCCAACAATAAAAATCCAGGTGGCCCAACGTGGCCCAACACAGCCCAGCCCAGACCGAACCCCAAAACACAACAAGGCCCAAGTCTGCTGAGTACGCAAGGCGTACTCAGCCTATACACTTAGCATACTGCTTGGTAGGCTTGTGCGCAAAACGTACATACTTGTATTCCCAACGTACTCACCAGCCCAAAGCCAACTTTCCAATTAAGCACTTAATCCGATAAGACTTGGATCCAAACTCAGATCTGACTTCCCCAAGGTGGTTAATCACATAAAATTGCCAACTTTATGTGCATGCATGGCTAAATAGGACTCTAGAGCTCAAAAGAGCTTAATACTTGACTTAATACATGCATGAAACCAAAACCACCATAAAGATCACATTTGTATGCCTTTGGGACACCTAAAACATCCAGATCTAGTGTCCAACTATTAGGGCAAGCTCAACTCAGAAATACAAACCAAAGGGATCAAAATGTTCCATAAACCACCCCAAACAAGATCTAACCAACGAAATGTCAAGATCAGTGCTTTTTACCTTCAATAGGTTGCAAAAGATGAGAAACTTCTGGATCCATAAGCCCTACTCTAAAGGATGATTCTTCAACAAGCCCCAATCTTTTCAAGATGCTCAAAACACTCCAAGATTACTCAAAAAGGCTTAAGAACTCCAAGATGGTGGCTAAGGGTCGCATATTAGGGTTTAAAAGGTTTGGAGGCTGATAAGGGTCAAGGCTCAAGAAGAAAATTTGCTTAAATAGGGGGGTAAAACCCTAAAAATGAGGGTTTAAGGCTGAAGGGAGTACGCCCCACGTACCCCTTAGTACGCTCTATGTACTCAAGGACCACCCACGACCCATTTAACTAGTACGCCCCATGTACATGACGAGTACACCTCGCGTACTTGTCAAACCCTTTAAAACCCTAAACTTCATTTGGCCCTAACTCCTTTGATCTATGTCCATTTTCGATGAACTTTATATCCACGGAAATGTGACGAGAAGCCCTACACTTCTAACAACTCGCCTTAGCCTTACAAATTCCCGAACCAAAACCCAAAATTCATTAAGGCCCGAACTAACAAATTACTATTATGGCCTTGGACTCCGAAACACCATCGAACACTAGGATCACTTTAGACTTTAACACCCTCATCAAAAAAGGGCCAAATCCTTTCTTCCCCAGGGCCCTAAGCCTTACGATAACTGATGATCGGGCCACAGCCCCGAAAAATGAAACGACTCGAAACCAGGTGTTACACTTATGAATACATGCCCTATCAAACATATATTAAAATTCTTAAGCTCTCCTTCTAGGATTTCTTTCCACTTCACCGTATTATTAACAGAGGAAGAACTTCTACCAATATTAACTAATTATCGGACGAGTACAATTGCATGCCGCTAAAATCAAACAACCAGTCAACTAAAAGATCTGACATTATAATGGTTGGACTCAAACGAGAGCTGCACAATAGAGCCAAATCAGACAATCTAAAACTATTTAATTTTGGGAACATGCAACCTAACGTACTTGTCCAATAACTAATTAATATTAATATAGGTTCTAACAAGCAAATAATAAGCAAATCCCTAGACTATAAGGCATCTTAAGTATCATGGAATTCTAACCAGCAATTCCTTAAGAGATCCTTAGTCTATATACTAGCATGCATTTCTAATATTTCATATATCAGCAAATATAACGAATATGGATATTTTAGGAATCACTTTCCCTTACGAGCTTTGTTGACTGCATGCATCGCATTCTTTCCTTTTTGTATTATTCTTTTTATGAAAAGATTTGTTAATTACTTAGATCCTTAGTTTGAGTCTGGAATCAAATGAGTGTTCATCTAGTTGACTCAAACTAGGGCTCTGATACTAACTTGTAACGTTCCAATTTTTAACCCAGAATTTTCATTTTTATTTATTATAATATATCATAGTATAATTACATTATGCGGAAACATGTTGAGAATGCACATGTGTGAAGTTGAACCTTGCCCTTCTTACGAGTCAATGAAGTACCTGGAAAATATTTATAATCAACTAGGTAAGCACGAAGCTATGTGAGTTCCCCAAAATACCATATACCACAATACATATACATGCATACATATAATGGCTCACGATGTGCCAATAATTTACACGGGTCTATGTGTACTTACGGCCGACATGCCATTTTTTTCAACACATGTCTATGTGTACTTACGGCCTACATGTCATTTTGTCAACACGGGTCAATGTGTACTTACGGCCTACATGACATTTTGTCAACACGGGTCTTTGTGTACTTACAGTCTACATGCCATTTTGTCAACACGCGGGCATATAGGCTCCTGAACTCTTTAACCATTCCACCACCATCCCCTAATTAAGTCGAAATCACAACAATTACACACGTAGAGACTATACTTTAGATTCTACTAATACAGGAAAATTTATACTTTCTACTCTACCAGTTGACGCTCATTTACATAGAGACTATACTATCAGCTCTACTCTACCAACTCTCTATCCTAACATACATGGACATGTATTGTAATACATAGTATAATCAGATAACTCACCTGGAAAGTTTCTCAAAAGACTAATAGCTTTTTGGCGATCCCACCAGCGGGCAACGCGTCTAACGAGTATTAACCTATAATACCATAGTTGATTAGTTCCTATGGGAATTTGGTAAAGAAGGCTAGATTTTTAACTAATACCAATATATACTGAGAGTTCTGTCAAATAAGGATCAGCCAGGTGGGACAATTGGGAGGCAGGATCATTTCGGCATATAGCTTTTCTGAAATTCAATAACCAAGCCAACGTGACCATTCTAGACACCTCTCATATAAGTAGATCAATCAATATTATAATTGGAATTACTGATAAATATTATATGTATATATATATATATATATATATATATATATATATATATATATTCATGACATCAACTATGAATATAAATACAAGTTACACTTAAAGCGTAGTAAGTGTAGCCTAACTTACAGATAATTTCTAGCTAAAATCAGGATTTGCGCATAAAGAAATTCGATATCGAGCACTTCAATTAGCTGAGCCTAGATGCCCAGAGCGCCGCTAACTAAAATATTCTTGAAATCCTGAAGAAAACTCTCTAAAACCGAGCCTAAAAGTTGAGAGGTGCGGAGAGGAATGTCGGCAGCACCATCTATTTATAGGCTGCATTTTTTGGAGGCACACCATACCCTGGATCTGGTTTGCCGCCCTCCTTGCAACATGTGGCATTCAATAGCTGGAGAAGCGTGGCACCTTCTAAAAGCTTGCGCGTGATGCCCCTTTTTGTGCGTGGCGCAAAACACGAATCTTGTAAATTCATAACTTCTTCATATGAGATCTATTTTTGACGTTCTTTATATCAACGCATAGCTATCGACGAGATCTACAACTTTCATTTAGAGTCCATCGGCTAATTCTCACTTTACTTTTAATTTATTATTTTAGAAGGCTTAGACTGTTAAACTCCGTTTAAAATTCATATCTCTTTTATATGACATCCGTTCTCAATTGTCTTTATATCGACGGAATTGTATCTAGGTGATCTTCAACTATCGTTTAGATTGTTTCGGCTAACAATCGACCGATCTTGATTTTGGTTTTTTGTGTTGCGCACTTTTATACCGAAACTCCTAATAATCATAATTTCCTCAGACGAATTCAGATTTGGACGTTCTCTATATGCACGTTCTCGATTTGACGACTACTACGACTTTCATTTAGATTGTCCAGACTAATAAGCAACCTATCTAAAATTCACTTTTTATGATACATAGAGTCGTGTCGATTTAATCGCAAAACTTCGAAGAAGCATAACTTCTTCATACGAAGTCGGATTTAAGCGTTTTATATATCTACGGAAATCATATCGACATTTCCTACATGTTTATGATGATTACTTGGGCTAAAGAGTGTTATATCTCTACTTCAAATTTTATAAACAACGATTTATATTGAATCCTATAGATAGGTGAAAATGGGGTGTTACAATTTACAAGAACTCCCAATTCCAAACCATCTGAACCAAAAATCTAGTGTTCAAGATAACAAATACCTGCCACATCAAGTTATCAAAGAGACCCGACAAGCCAAAAATCAACACGAAGCTATACGTTGCAAGAATAACACAAAAACGTAATTCATAAACCATACAACGATTGCAAAGCAACCCAATCCAAAGCATGTTAAAATGGCTAACTCAGCTTACAACCAAAAAGATTCATAGTTAACACAAAAGAAAACCAAAACTACGTAAGCCTAAGAAGGACCAGCATAACCATACGCTTGCACCATCTGCTTCAACTTCTCCACGTTCAGCTTCTCCAAATCAAAAACAGAAGCATAATCCAACGATGCAAAAGCATCCAGTGCCTCATCAATTATAGCCTCATGATCCACATCATCTTCCAGTGCATCTTCTAATTTACTGCCACCACCAATAAGTTCTTTGGCCTCTTGCATACCCAATACATTCCCAGCAGCCAAACATACATCCTGAAATTTGTTAACACCATAACCAAACTCAAGACTCTCCAAAACATGGTCAATTACCCCGGACAAACCTTCCTTCATTACCCATTGGTCATCGCGCTCCAGATATCCTAAAGCCACAGATTTCTCCTCCACAACCCGCTCTCTCTCTCTCTCTCTCTCTCATAAATATCCCTTTCAAGACTCTCAATATGGATACTCAAACCCGCGTTCCCCTGTTTTAGTTGGCCCACTGCATCTCCTAAGGAAAGCTCGTCACATTCAATACTTACAATATTGTCCTCTAACATCTTCTTCTCAGCAGCAAGAGCATTTAACCACTAAACATTCCCCACAATCTCAAAAACCTTCTTTTGCAACAAAACATTTTCCGAACGAAGAGCATGGTTTTCTTTTACCAAACACGCAAGATCGCCGTCAACGGCAAGAAATCGCTCTAGCCAGTTAATACCTTCAGCAAAGAAACTAGCACTCTAAGCTACAGAAAAATAAAAAGACCCAACAAGATTAAATAAGGAGTAATTGGCCGTCTCAGATTCTATGCTAAGTTGAAGTGCATTCTTAGCAAAATCAACAACAGATTCAAATAAGGACATATGAGAATCATTTTTTAAATACTAAGAAGGATGAAATTCCATACCATTGGCACCTCCCACTCCACTATCACCAACAAGTGGAGACTCAACATGACCAAAATGTAAGAAATGAGAACCTTTTTTCACGTTACACCCACCATATCCAACCACCAAACGCTCTGAAGTTTCCAACACAACACCTGGATCAGACTCAACAACATTCACACATGTATCAGACTCTGGAAAAACAGTTTTATCCACATTACATTAATATCAATCACCTCGGTTTGAAGATTCATAACACACGAAATTCCCCGGCCAACCTTCGTGGACGCAAACGTCGTACGAGAGCAATACCTTTAACATCTTGACCACTAACACTTTGCCAAGCCGTTTTCCACTTGTTCACTGAGGGAAGAAACCCCGTCCTTGATATCTTCCATGAACTATTATTCTATAAGTCTGTTTCTTGAAGACTCAACACTGACATCCACACTAACAGGGTCAATCAAAGCTGATTGCGATGGCTTCACAACAGCACCATGCCACTCAACATCTTGGATGACAGACACACGAGTAATGAAAGACTTGTTATGAAAAGGGAAAGAGGGCAACACTTTATCACTGAGATCTGCCTCACGTTACCAGAGACTGCCCGACCATTTTTCACCAACACGTCTAGAAAATAAACCTTCTTCTCAACACCTACGGAGCGTAACTAGATGAACAAAAAAGGGGGGATAAGAGAATAATAGATGAATAAGGAAAGAATCAAAATAAACCTTTTGACATAACATAAAACTCTGCATCTTTCCGCAAAGCCTCCATGACATACTCATACTGTAACATCCTGTTTCCTGTCATTTCTTATTTCAGGGTCATGGGCCGGAAGTCGATTATGTCATGCTTTATGCCTTAATGAGGCAAGGTTTAGTCCTTATGGAAGGAGGTAATGATAGTTGAGATATTTAACCCTTGAATTGTGTTTTTGGGTCGAAGGGTAGAAAGGGAAAAGTCATACGCCGGGTTCGTGCATGAAAATTAGATTTTTGTTCGAGAAGTTTTAGTCCAAGATATCTAGATAATATCGTAGGGCTCTTCAATACCTTTTTGGGGATATAAAGATCGTCAAAATCGAAGTTAGAACAAAGAAGTTATGACCGTTCGAAGTTTGTAGGGTTTTGGGTTGAGCCTAGTACGTTGGGCGTACTAGGTAAAAATGATCACAAGATCCAACCTATTACGTCTAGCGTACTAGGAGTATGATGGGAGTACGCAATCAGGTATCAAACCTTAATTTGAGGGTTTTGAGCGTTATTTAAGCTCATTAACCCCCCTCCCCCCCAAACCCTTTCCATTCTCAGCCTTCACCCCTTCAACGTCCTTCCTAGAAACCCTAACCCTATTTTGAGCCTTGTAGGCAAAAAGGAGGTGTTTTTAAGTGCCTTGAAGTGATCTTGGTGCATGTTGGAGAATAGGGAGCTCATTGGAGAAGTGTTGGTTGCATTGGAGATTATAGATCCAGACCTTGTTTACCTTGATCCTTCTTCTAGAGGTATAAAGTTTGAATATTGATGATGAAATTGTTACATCTAGCTAGTTTTGGGTGTTATGAGCTTTTGGTCACTTTAAGTGCATAAATTTTAGATCGTGAAAGTTTGTGACCTTGTTATGGATAAAGTTGGCAACTTTATCCATCTAATCATTTTTATTTAGATCTGAAGGTTGGAGACTTGGACTTAATGGATTAAGTCAAAAATGATGTACTTTTGGTCCCTTTGAGACTTAAAGACTAGATCTTGGTTGTTTGGACCATTCTAATGGATAAAGTTGGAAACTTTATCCATTATGGAGTTATTGGGAAGCATAAAAATGTGATATTGGTCCTTTTATCCTTTCCATGCAAAAGTTATGATGTCTTAATGGATTAATAAGTTAGGGTTTTGGCGTTTGGACCTTTTTTAGGCATGGAAAGTCATAAAGGTGGAAACTTTATGAGTTAAATTGATGTTTTAATTTTATATCTGAGCTTTGGACAAAAGGACTTAAATGATAAAGTACTTAATGGAGAAATAAGATCAGGTCATGTACGCTGGGCGTACGCAGCTGCCATGGACCTTGACTTTGTTGACTTTTGTTCACCGTTGACTTTTGACCAAGTTTGACTTTAGGTCAAACTTGAGGGTTTTGGACTATTAATTAAGGTTTTACTTGGTTTTGGTGATTAGCGGATTCATGGGAGCACGCAGTGCAAAAAAGGGAAACATGACTTAGTTTTTTGGGTTCTTCATTTCAGGTAATTTTTGCCTCATTGTATTTGTGGGTCAAAGGCACCAATGCCGACCCACTAGTTTTGGTTATCTTTTAGCAGAGGGATGCCATAGGGACTGTATGTAGTCATGTAGGATAAAGTGAGGACTCATAATCTAGGTTTTCTTGCTTGTTCCTTGTTTGGTTGTGGCTCTAGAGTAGGATCATATATACGGGTGTCTATCTCACCTCTGAGTATATAGGGTTATGTATTCCTTGGATTGTTGGTAGTTAGTATGTTTCTATGCAGTAGTAATCGGTTAGATATGTATCCTGATATATAGGATATTCCTATGTTGTAGTGATCTGTTAGATCTGTTTCCTGATATATTGGATGTTCCTATGTTAGATCAGTATCCTGGTATATAGGATATTGCAATGCGGTAGTGATATGTAGATCTATATGTCTACATGTACTTGCTGGCTATCGTCTAGTGGAGTGCCCGAGGGACTGTATGTAGTCATGTAGGATAGCTTGAGAACTCTTGATCTAGGCTTTCTTGCATGTTCCTTGTTTGGTTGTGGCTCTAGAGTAGGATCATTTGTTCGTGTGGCTATCTCACATCTGGTTACTTGTGGTTACGCATTTCATGGAGGTTAGCCAGTAGCGAGACAGTGTATTGTGAGAGGACTAGTAGGCATAGTGAGTTGTATGATTGATGTTTGCCTGTATTATGTGTCTGCTTGATCCTTGATTGTTTATATGTCGACATACGGTAGTAGTGGGTTGAGGTGGTCCGGCTTTATGTTGTAGGTCAACATACCTAGTACGAGCCGGCTGTAAGTCGTAGGCACGGAGGCTCGAGAAGAGCGGTTGAGTTGAGGTGGTAGGCCAACACCTTGGGTATTCCAACCCGATGGTTGAGTGGACATGTTGCATGTTGGCATTCCAGTCCAACGATTGATTGGGCCTGGGGCATTCCAAGCAGGAGGTTGTGGGCCATTATGTGTAACAACTAGCATTTTAGGGCTAGAAATTTATATCCATGTGCAAATAGTTTCTTTGTGTAACTAAGTGACACTACGTGTGGTATAAATTAATTTCAATGTTATCTAAGTTAATTCATCCAAAAGTCGTGATTCAAGTCGAAACCTCCTCGTGTAAGCCCAAAACCTAACCTAATAAGCTAAGTCCATCCAACTTTGGGCCTTAACCCAAGTCTTCCCGGTCCCAACCCCTAAATGGGCCAAAACTCTCTTATTGGGCCTAATGGGCCAATAACCCCTCAACTTGGCTCCTTTGGGCCGAAAAACCCACTTTTGGGCCATATTTGGGCCAAAAATCTTTTTTTAAAACCATATTGGGCCATAAGACCCTTATTGGGCCTTACTGGGCCATGAAGAATTATTTCGAGCTTCTTGGGCCGAAAACCCTTCCATTGAACCTCTTTGGGCCGAAAACCCATATATAGGCTCTAAAGGGTCGAAAATCCTTTTTGGGCCCAATATATTCTTGAAATGCCTTCAAGCCAAAAAATCTTTTCTTCCTCCCCTCTTCTATTGGGCAGATCGGATTTATTTATAAAAAAAAAAAAAGAGAACCAAATTAAAGAGGGTTGACTTGTGCTTGACACCTCAACATTATATGGCATGTATCTAGGTATTACTCTCCATACATCTAGAACAAACTCTATTGTCCATCAAACATCCAAAACTTTCTCTCCCCTCTCGTTCACTACATACGGCCGAACATACCACCACCATCCCCATTTCATTTCATTTTTCAACCTTCACCCTATTACATAATCCTCTCATCTCTCTCTTAAACACAAAGAACACTCTCTTCTTTCTTCAAAAATCATGTGAACTGTGTGTGTCTTCAAGGGATTCTCTTCAAGTTTTCACTAACTTGGTAAGTTTGTAATCATAATCAAGTTGTTTATTTTCAAGTTTCACTAAGATCAAGTCTCAAACCACACCATTTTCGTGATTATGATTCTAGAACACCAAAACTCCACAAATCTCTTCAAAGAAGCTAGCTAAAGCCGAAAACTCACTCCATTCTTCCTATTCAAAACCGAAAAGCCCAAGGTAAGCTTCATACCCCTTGTTTTCGTGATTTTCTATCTTTAGGGGGAGAATACAAGTTTAGTTTCTATAAAATCTTTGTATGTATGCTTGCATGTGTATGTTTACATGATATGGTGTGTGAAATGTTATGAAATCATGACAAACACCCATGAACTCGAGATTTCATCCAAGTTTTGAAGTTATTAGGAAACAAGTTACCTTATGTAACTCCTTAAGATGGTTGGATGTGTTTAATATGTCCACAAACTTACCATGAAACTAAAGAAAATATAAAAAAAGGACCATATTTGGAAATAGAGTGAAAAATGGGCCTTTTATTTATATTTTCGGTGTTAATGGGCTAAAATGGTCATTATTGATAAAAATAGGCCTTTTATGTCATTTTCGGTATTTTTGGGCTAAAATGGACATTTTTGATAAAAATGGGCCTTTTATGTCAATTACGGTATTTTTGTGTGAAAATGGTCATTTTTGGTAAAAATGGGCTTTTTATGACATTTTCATTTACAATGGACCAAAAATGAACTATTTAACAAAATTGGGCCAAATATGACATTTTTATATAAAATGGGCCGAAAATGAATTATTTAGCAAAAATGGGCCACTTATAACAGTTTGGACAAAATTTGGGTCTTATGTGGCAACTCTATTCTAATTGGGCCATTAGTGATGATTCTAATAAACTCGAAACTTTCACGATACTTTGGGGAACAAAGAGCTATTTATGATAACAACAGTGAAAATGAAATATTTTGACATTTTCGATAAAAACAATTATATTTTTATCACCTACGGTCCGTAGTAAAAAATATACACTCGCAACATTATTTATTACGTTAAATATTGAAACTCAATATTAGCGTAAATTCCGTTAAGCCTCTTGTGAGACGCACCTTCACCGTACCTATCTTAGTGTACACCGTAAGCCCTATAGTTATAACCAGAGTCTCCTGGAGGAAGAACGGGAATTTGTGTATAGATCTATACGGGGATGACACCCCACACCTGAGCTGCTCGCTACAGCT